ATACATGAAATGCTAGGAAGGAGAGAAGGTTAAATAATTTTAGTTTAATGACCAGACAGACCCGGCGGTTTATCAAGCTGACTCCACTAATGGCTAATGTCAACCGGCCAAAGACTTGCTCGAGAAAAACCGGACAGTTTTTTAGAGGCTGACCTCTAGGGGGTGTCGGTGCCGGCTAGGGGTGGGCGCTGAGACGGGGGTACTGTTGACAGCTGAGGGTGGGGTTCAGACGGGGTTTCTTGTGAGAAAACGGTGATGCTGAGACAGAGGGATTAAATGCCAGACAGCGTGGGGATGGGGGGTGGGGTGTCTTGGTCAGCATAGTGCCACTCTTGACACGAGTTTTTGTGCCAGGCAGGGCGTCATATATGGAGGAGGTTTTGACCCAGGTAGTGTGCTGCTCAGAATATCATAACTACCATAATATACCCAACTACTAAGCGCTAAATTTTACTCCAGAGCTTCAATTGTATATCTGCTATAGTTGCTTACAGATTTGGGTTTAGCTGTTGAAAGTATATCAACTCGGCTGTGATATTTGCACAAATTTATAAAGTCAAAAATTATTCAAGGCAAGTCATAACTTAGTGGTAGTGAAATTTTTAGAAACTATGGGAAAATGTTGGAATCGATAGAGGACATCCGATGGGAAATAATAAAAAAATAATGGGAAATATTGAAGTTATCGATAGGAAAAGGTTTGAATGAATAGAGAAAAGCCATAATCGAAAGAAAAAATTTTTTCCAGTGATCAATGCGAAATGTGACTTGTCAAAGTGCGTGTAATGTATTAGAAGTAACTACAATGGTTGATGACCTTTTTTTTTCAGAAGCTTTCAAGACAACGGTCGTAATGTTGAATTTATTAATACGGGCTATTGTGAACGTTTATTTGTGCTGGTTGGGAACATTTTTTAACAAGCCGTAGTTTGTTATAAATCAGTAGTTACACATGTGTTAATAAAATGGCTGTACCGAATGGGTTTTTAATTGCCGGTGTTCACTTCATGTTTGCTACCAGACTTATTGTTGGAAATGTTTGACCAACTGACCACCAGCTCACACCCACGTTCATACCATCCCTCCTCCTCCTATTGCCGCTATCATTATCGTCATTATCGAGCCCAACATCGTCAACACTTCGTATCGGCCAGACATTTTAGTACGACTATTAGTAAGAGTAAGTGCCGTCATTTCCCCCTGGATTTTTGCCTCCTGACCCACTGTCCGCTCCGTCTGGTCAGCCGATAAGACACGGAACGTCCAATAAGCTGCTCTTCCAATCAACTTTATTTACAACCAACCCTCGCTGACTGTCTCGGATTTTGTTCTTGGCTTTTCCTTCACAGTGACACCATCAAAATAGGAAAAGAAATGCGTAGGCTTGTGTCTGGTGAAGCACACACACAAAATGTGGAGACTTTGGTGGAGCAAACACAAAATGTGGAGACTGGTGGAGCACCAAAAAAAATGTGTAGACTTTGATGAGAGAAATCGGATGAAGTTGACAGCCGTGCCCTTGATTCACAGCTTCGTTACATTATCCATGCGTGGGTGAGGGCTTTGTCACAGTGCACGTGCATGACACGGCTCAGGGAAACAAATGCCGTCTATGGGGTTACATGTAGCTTGTCGTGTGACATTTGACACCAACTACAACTAAACATGATTGGATGTTGCCAAGTACCTCCCTCACACACGCTTGTTCCATTATACATCATATACATGTATATATAATGTTTTAATGTATGTATATACATAGTCATGTTACTTTTTCTTTAAAGATGCATTTTTTTTCTGCATGAGCGCATCACCATGTGATCTCATAATTCCAGCTTTGCCCTCATTAAAACCGACACCATTAAGTTGTACTGCCGTAATTGAATTACAGAGAGCGTGTTTTGTTTTAAAATCCCCATCTCCTACAAGCCACACAGACTCCATGAGCGACGGCTGATGGTGGTGGCACCGGAGGGTAATTTTGACGGATGTGTCCTTTCAGAAATAGTGACTACACGAGTGTATCTAAGGACACGTTTGACACGAACCTGTGTCATTATGTGAGCCAGTTTTGTGTGGGGGTGTGTGGAGGGAGGGAGGGAGGGAGGGAGAAAATGGGAGGCTAGATGGCGAGGGGAGAAATCTGTCGTTGAAGACAAGTGACAGTATGACTGTCTGGTGAACAGCTTCAGGAGTCTGCACAAATTTGCTTGATATCAGTCACAAGAAAACAGGAATTTTTTATTTTTTTATTTTTTTTTACAAACTGGCCGGTCACTGAGAGGCAAAGCTAGTTTGAAAACGGGCGGGGTGTGGTTGGTAGTGGCTGCTACACACAGATCAGACAGTAAGTAACCCAATAAACCACCCGCATCGTATCATCTGCTACCCCTATCCGACAACTCTAATCTTCTAACAGAATTACCACCGCTCAACCTAACTTCAGACAGGGGCGGAAACTTTTTCTTATTAGCAAACTTCACCTAAACACGTTTGGCTCTTAATAAAGCAACGAATATGTGTATCAAGAAGCACAAAAAAAAAAAACTGCCAGTACCTGAACACATAACTGAGGCTATAAACATTTTCTTCTCTATTAAGCTATTCATTTAGCGGCTTAGCCCAATGCTAAAACTATAATTTAACTTAACCCATTAGAATAATATGACTTTTTTTTTGCCTTGCTAAGCAAGCACTTCTGACAAAACCATAAATATCTACAGAGAAATGGATTTTGATGCACTGCCCCGGACACATATAACAACAGTAAACTAGTGTTTTGTAAGGACGGACAGACCAAGGGACAGACCCCCCCCCCACCCCCTTTTAACACCCCTGGAACTCCGCCTCCTGGAGCCGAAGCAAAAGCCGCGTCAAAATATTGATATTACAGTGCGATAAGAAATTGACGACTGGACACAAAATATCCAAGTCATTACTCTCGCCCTGCTCCTTGTGCGTTCATTTTTTTCTTCCTCACTCTCCTCCAAATAGTTTCATTTCTCTCGGATCTTTAGAGTACACGGTGACCAAGTGTATAGCAAGTACATTGATAAATTGTTATCACTTCTGTTGCTCTACATTTGTACACATTAACACTATGCTAAACTGCAACCTTATTCTACATCCTTTAAAACAAGTACAATGATAAATTGCTATCACTTTTTTTGCTCTACATTTTTGTACACATTAAAACTACGCTACACTTCTTCTTTCCAAACTATTCTACATCCTCTAAAACAACTACATTGATAATTTATCACTTTTTGTTATCACTTCTGTTGCTCTACATTTGTACACATTAACACTATGCTAAACTTCAACCTTATTCTACATCCTTTAAAGGAAGTACATTGATAAGTTGCTATCACTTTTTTTGCTCTACATTTTTGTACACTTCTAAATCTCATCCTTCCAAACCATTCTACATCCTTTAAAGCAAGTACATTGATAAATTGTTATCACTTTTTGCTCGACATTTGTACACATAAAAAACTACGATAAATTGTATCCTTCCAAACTATTCTACATCATATAACTATAAAGCAAGTACATTGATAAATTGTTATCGCCTTTTGCTCTACATTTTTGTACATATAAAAACTACGCTAAACTTCATCCTTCCAAACCGTTCTACATCCTATAAAGCTAGTACATTGATAAATTGTTATCATTTTTTTGCTCTACATTTGTACACGCTTAACGTCAACCTTCCAAACCGTTCTACATCCAAGTCTATGTAATGATAATAGCCATTTCAGTTATCATTTAATCTTACGCCCTTAGAACTGAATGAATGAATAGTCAAAATGTGTGGGTGGCTTTGGTAGGACAGTTAACATTATGATGTAGGCGAAAGATCAGTTAAGATACGTGGGTGACCCAATCGTTATGTGGGGGGGGGGGTGACTGAACAGTTATGTGGGGGTGACTGAACCGTTATGTGGGTGGTTGGCTTTCGTTGAACCGTGAATATGTATGTGCAGTAAAAAAAAAAAACTAGCCTTACTAACTGAAATCTCTTGGCCAGCCCATCCCTGTAGTGTATAATTATCATAACAAAACCATGAATACAGTCTGTCTTGATACCATTAAAATTAACTGTGATGTTTAATGTAACTTGTAGTAAAGAATAAATAGACCTTGGTGGATCTAGCTAGAGGATACAGGGGTTTAGACCCCCTCGTCCCCCTGAATTTATGCACACAATTTTTAAAAAAAAAAGGATTTTACTTTATATAAAAAACTACCACATCTTTTTGAATGAAAAACGTTTTGTTTTTAAGGTCTCCATAGATAGACATGGGGCAGATCTCGTAAGGGACATACAAGATTGATACCACCCAACATACACATCTACACCCCCTGTCCTAGACACACACAACTTAAAGACTAGATCTGCTTATGGACAACATTGACGACTGTAGTGTCAAGTACAGAAGCGTTTACTTCTAGGGGGTGGGGGGTGCTTTGGTGATATTCATGGCCAGTGGTCAACATGGACTGGCATGTGGGAACCACTGGACCGCATAGGTTAGCAGTAGGGCTGGTAACCAGTGAATCTCATTCGATGACAGGTTGAAATGAGAACGGTTGGTGCCATGGTGAGCGATAGATTTTGTGGCGTCTCTAAAGGCTGTTTGAGAAGCACTGGTCCACAGAAGATGTCTATGTTACCGGTCCCCCATTGTTAGTTTTACTTGTCTGTAGGTTTGTGTGTGTGTCGGGGAGCGGTAGGACTAGCTGTTTGATCCCGTCTCCGTTTGATCAAACTGAGCCAATCAATGAAGGGTAAACGTTGATGCGACACCGGGCTCGCTAGTCCAGGCCTAGAAATCTTTGTGCTGGGGGGGGGGGGTGTAAGGGAATTAATTATTTCAGATGAATAATAGGTTTTCTAAGTTTAGACGTTGTAGCGCTGTTGGTTTCTAATGATTAAACTAAAGAATGTTTATTATGTACTAGCAGTTAATACAGATTTTTTTTTTTTTTACTTTCAGATTGGAGTGACAAAAGGAAACATGGTGGTAAGATTTTTTTTTTTTTTATAAATTGGACAACCAATTTGTCCCCCACTGTCCATACCTAGTTTCGGGTACCGGCCTTCTTCTAAAAATTGTATAGGAAATGTGTCCGTTTATTCCTTTGTTACCTTTTCATTTGTAACGGGTGTAAATTATATCCTGGCGAATCGTACAGAAACGTAAGGGCTCTACCCCGAATCGAACCTTCCCCCCCCCCCCCTAAGAAAACCCCTGTCAAATGTAGTTGATATTTGTCCAAAATTTTACATAGCAGTACTACAACTCTTGGTAGAGAAACATTCAGATATTAGAACAAAAGTAATTAGACTGTTCTGAATGTTCCAATTCACAAACTAGGAGCATCAATTCCAATAAATAAGATGTTAGTCTGTGTATTTTCTCTCTCAGTGAAAATCCGAAGGCGCGCAGAATTTTTTAATTAAAGATTTCGCCAAGTATTTTTGCGCCAGTTGTTTTGTTAACAAAGTGAATGTAGGCTAATGACGCATATAGTTGAATAAACAAACTTGTCAACGATTTTTTTTTAATTACTTGCACTGAACCGCAACTGTACTCTACCACAGCTTTACAATATGCATGCTACTACAATAGACTACATCAAAATAAGAACTTTGCATAATATTCCGGATAAACCCACGGAAAAATGAAGTTGGTTTTTTAAAATTACTAGTGTTCAGAAAACCATACCATAACGTACTAGAACTACCAGATATTTTATTGCAGTCCTTTTTAAAACATCTAACACATTAAATCGACATATAATATCACATTCTTACATCAACTTGTGCGGTCAGTTCAGCTTATAATAAAACACACACACACATTTTCTATCACTTTTTCTATTGACCACCCCCCACAATACCTCCCCTTAAAAGATAACCATCTACCTTGGAAACCCACCGAGCCAATGTGTTTATAAAAGCAGTTGGGGCCTATAGTTGTTTTTAATAGACCGATTGACTATCATTGTGACAGCTCCGCTACATGTAGATCTAGTATCTTTTTAAACAACAGCAAGATCAATAATTATTCGAGAGGAGAGAGTTGGAGGTAGATAGACACAATCAGTGCGTGGTGCATTATTTGTGTAGACAATCCTTTAAAAACCTACGGTACAGTTTAAGGTAGTATACGAGCATAGCAAATGTACAAGTACCCAAATTGTTACAAGCGTGGTAATGGAGGCGCCAGTTCCCTAGACCAGTCGCTGACGTAACAGCACCTTGCGGAATGTGGCTGTGGTGCCTGCCTCGGGCATACGACCCGTGTCTCCGACACTGCTGAGCCGAATATTTCAGCCTGGGATCGCCGGCTCTAAGAACCGGTAGCCACGGCTGACCCCAAATTTTCAGCCTGGGATCTCCGGCTGTAAGAAGCGGCGGCCACTCTGACCCCAAATTTTCAACCTGGGGTCTCCGGCTGTAAGAAGCGGCGGCCACTCTGACCCCAAATTTTCAACCTGGGGTCGCCGGCTCTAAAAAGCGGTGGCCACTCTGACCCCAAATTTTCAGCCTGGGGTCGCCGGCTTCAAGAACCGGTAGCCACGGCTGACCCCAAATTTTCATCCTGGGGTTGCCGGCTTCAAGAACCGGTAGCCACTACTGACCCCAAATTTTCAGCCTGGGGTCGCCGGCTGTAAGAAGCGGTGGCCACTACTGACCCTAATTTTTCAGCCCGGCCAACAATAAATACCACGTACTAAATGTAGTGTCCTTAAAAAAACTGCTGACTGGGCCAACCTAGTGCGATACCGCCAACAAGCAACGCTCAAAACCTAGGGAAATCACCCCACTCCCAACTCACAGCGCGCCACTTCCTTGCTGCTACACACACAAACTTAACAAGTCACCGTGTTCACATTAAAAGCCGGTACGTTTTCACAAACACTTCATATTCCTACACGATTACATTTTCACCTTTCATGAAAACAAATTGTATGATCTATGTTATTTACTTTTATCTTTTTAAAGAATTTTAGGGCTACTAAAACTTCATTTTTTTTTTCATTAAAAGCTTTTTTAATTAAATCCACTCGGTTACTCTAAGTATAGAAATCGAGTACTGTTAGTTTTTTTCGTGAATTATTAATTCCTTCCTGTAGAGTAGCGTACAATTGCAGACAAAGAAATATATCATAACAACACAATGGTAAGTTTGGACGTGAGAGGCAGACACAAGTCCGCCTTTGCTAAAAATAGACCCAGTCTCCGCTCCCGCCCAAGACAGTTACGCTGTGTTATAGGTCAGACTAGTTCAGTCGACGCGAAGGGGAGGGAAATTAATGGTAATTTTTTTTTAAATTGCATTTATATTTATTTTTAAGGACGTTTGTTCAGGCATGCGGGAAAAGGTTTTAAAATAGTCACTAGCGGCGCTGAATAAGACGCACACAGTCAAGAGGTGTGCTTTTGTTTTAGTGGGCTTTACAACAGTGTGATCCGATTTTACGTGACCTCTGCACATTCCTCTAGTCTAGACTGTTACGGCTTTATCATCGCAGCTAAATTAATTTCTCTAACATTCATGTGTACATGCTACGTATTATTTGGGGAGCTTATGTATACTTTTTTAAAAGAATACAACATGACATCGTTACACAGCAGATAATCATTATTATTTTTACCACACTATGAGCTGATTACGTTACTGAAACTATTACACATATTTTCGTAGAATAGATATTTAGACATATTTTTATAGACATTAAAACATAACTGTAAGAAATCAAATAAAACTAAAAATTGTTTACTAAATGCGTTTACTAAAAGAATAAAAAAGGTACGGGCTATCCCGCTACTAAGAAGCTGACACCCCTGTTTTTAAATAATGCACCTATTCCAGCAGAAGAGTTACACTCGCGGGACAGCGTCTATGCCGTAATCGGCATAATATGTAGGCTAGGGGTAACAGGCCACCAAGCTACTGTGACCTCGCGACCTCGAATAGGGTTCATGCTGGGTCAGCCTGCCTAACGTCTCGGGACTGAACACAAACCCGTTAGCGTTGAGAGAACCAGCCCCGCTCGCCGGCGACTACGTTTAGTCTCCCGTACCCCCCCCCCCCCCCACACCGGTCCTCCTGTCGTTCAGTCAGACGATTACAGAGGTCACAATGGTAGCTGTTGAGTGTGTCTGTGTGTACGCGTGTGTCTGCTGGTTTTATCTCTCTATCCCCCCCTCGTCCCCGTGACTCCCCCGGTTTCATTCCTTCCTTCTGTTACCTCTTGCCGGCTCAACAAATATGAACCAACCGATCTAACGAATTGACGACTGAAAAACAGGACGCGCCAAGGGAAGGGGGGGACGTAATGGTTAGGTCAGACGCGTCAGACGAAGGGAGTTTCTGTTAGGTCACGAATTATTTCACCACAACGCAAGCGCGCCTTCCAAGTTACCGGGTTTAGAATATATTCAAACAGGGGCCCCCAGACCGAGTGGGTTTTTCTAACCAGACAGGCAACACGTAATGTGAATACGGCTACTAGACGGGCTCAAGTACTTGGATATCAACACCACCACAGGCCTTTTATTTTTCATACGGTGTTCCTTCGCTTTTTTGGAATGTGCTTGTTTTAAAAGAAGTATGTACACGTTCCGTTTATTTTATCGACTACTTATTTTAAAACATTCGTAAATAGCGTACGTTTACCTAGTTATAAAAGTTTAAATGGACGATTCTACGGTGGCTGTGATTTGAAATAGGAGTACACGTGTATGAAATAGGATAAAATTCACACCAGCCAACACGGTAAGAAGAGAAAAAAAAACATCGACCGTAAAGAAAAAAAAAAGAAATGTTAGACGGCCGGCACACACACGCTTTGGTATACGCCGTATAGTACTCCACGCTGTTACGTAACGGCGAGCCAGATATGCTATCCAGACGTCAATGGCAGCCCTCACTCGTGTATGCGTGTTTTTTTTCTCTCACTTGACAATTTGTGTGTGTGTGTGCTTTACTTCAACACATATTGGATTAATCGGCTGAAGAAGTAATAATAAGCTTACTTTAAATTTGAAACTAGTCCATCTTAAATCATGTGTGTTGGTTAAAAAAAATATTTTAAAAGTAACGTTACAATAGGAATATGGTAAGCTGTTTTAAAATTATAAACATGATATCGTGTTACAGTTACTCGATATCTACATACTTCGTGTAGATATTTTAGTGTTAGATTTAATTCTTTTCTTTGGACACATTTTTTAAAAAAATGAACTCGAGTTGGCTGTAAATTCTTGAGATGGATGGATGTCCTGTGCTATAGATTCAGCGTTGTGTTAGTGTTATGTAGACGATTCGTACGGCAGTCTACGGATAACACGGAGTTATAGACCTACACTTTTGTATGGGATCTCTCCAACCTAAAGGTGGGTCTGTATGTCTCACCAACACACACGCTTAGATTAAAACACACTCGTAGATGATTGTGATAAAAAGGTGGAAAACAAATATGTCTAAAACATTTTAGTAGTTCTGCTATTAAGTATAGAACTATAGATCTAGACTAGTACCTAGCGCTAGTAAGACCGTGTTGGGTTAGCCGTACCATATCTATCGTATGGGTTGCAATGTCAAGTTACCCAATTCTTTAACTAACACTGTGGCTAGGTACCACCTTCAATTAGTCTAGAGTACCACGCTGATTTTTTCTTTATATCCGCTGAAGTAGGACACTTTTTAAAAATATGTTACGGACACGGTAGACCTATATTCAAGTATATTCGTATTAAGTATAAAACGTCTACAATCAAGTTTCGCCAGACAATCGGCTAAATAACCTCGCGATATTCACGTGAACGCAGAAAAGATCAGTCAACAGGCGAACATAAAACAATGTAGACTACTGGTTTAAATGTAGCCACAGGATGTCTACACATTCTATTTTCAAACTGAAATAAATCTCTGCATGGCCTCAAATTCCAGTGTGGGGTTAACAAAAAATGTTTTAAGTTCTTGTTGAACAGCTCTTGTTAAACGAATCT